ATGACATAAATTAATCCTCCTGCGGAGGCAAAAATAAGCAATTAGCCGGTATCCAAGAGCCATGGCTAGCAGCACCCAGACTTCTTGCAAGCCACCTTTCAGGTCAACCATGTCAAATGAAGGTGAGCTCTGCAGAGGCCGACACCCTCCTTCGCTCTCGCACTCGTATAATTCATCACCATCATACTGCACTTTTAACAAAAGCCTAAACCCGTAGAACATGAAAGACAAGAACTTCATCCACTGCATGAATTTTGGAATGTGCTGCGAGGAGAAATTAAACGCAACCCTTTAGCTGGTCTCAGGAACACATGACGATGTATGCAGATGAAACCCTTGAAATTAGGAAATTACCTGGACGTAGTAACCTCCAGTAAGAAGAAACAACATTAATATCAAAGAAGCAAACATCCCAGCTCTTTTGATACTCAGACTTGCAGCTCCACATAGCTCTCCCACTCCCTTATTATCACACAGAAATACATCAATTACTTGGTGCTCGTATAGATTATTTGCATGTATGTGTATGAATATTATTTGTTTCTACTTACTTGGCTTGTGATGACTATCAATAGCATGACAAACAGTGTGAAGAAGAAGCAAGGGACTGTTCTCTTGAACCCTGCCATGAAGTACACTATGACCATGAAAAATGTTGGGTAGAATACATGAGCTACCATGTCACTCAGAGTGCTGCACACATAGTATACACTTAGTCTGTACATGTCTGCTTTCCTTTCTTTCACCAAATAGATCTTCTCGAATGGAAAGACATATACTGCTCCGAATATTGATGATGATGTCCAGAAAATGCAGATGTAGAACATTAAACCAACCTGCAATTACAGGAACATTAAACTATCTCGAATATTTTAATTTGATTCTTCTTGTGGTTGCGTAAAATGTTTCACGGAAATCAATTAACCTGGTCCCTTAATTGAGCCTCAGTTCCAGTTTTTGATTTCCACCAAAGAAGGCCTAGCAAAACTGCTACTCCTAGTGCTTGGACGAGCCTCAGCTTATCGAAATAATCTCTACACCTCTCTCTAAATGTTCTCTTGTACATTATGATGAACTGCTCCCACCAACTAAGTGTCCAATCCCTTTTTACTTGGATCGCCAATTGAAGAGGCTCAGGTACCCTTTTGCTCTGGTGATTCTCTTCCTTTTCTTTTGGTTCCAGCTGAGTTTTGTATTTCAGATGAAGGTACTGAATGCAGCATACGCAGAAGAAACTAATCTTAGAGGTTCATGTATAAGAAAAAATGGTCAGAGAGAAGAGATAATTAAATCAAGAGCTATTAATTACTTTGATTACTGCCTTTTCAGAATCAAGGATTCCATGTGGTGCTGATAGATCTTCAGGCACACTTATGTCATTCACTTGCCCGGTTGCTAAATCCAGCAAGAACTCTGCAGGGTTCATCGCTATCTCCGGAATGAATCTCAAACAAGAGAAATATTCCATAGATTCTCTAGCCTTCCCATAGTACACAGGGTAGCCTTCTGATATCAGGAGAAGCTTGTCAAACATGTGGAATATTCTGCTCGAAGGCTGATGGATTGTAGTGATTATTGTCCGTCCTGCCTGTAGACCACCAGACATATGCTTTTCATTACTTTTTTGACATACCTTAAAAGAGTTTTGCTAAATGTAATACATCTACTTTGGCACCTTAGCTAGCCCTTGAAGGATTTGAAGGAGTCTATTGGCTGATGTGGAATCAAGGCCTGAAGTTGGTTCATCAAGTAACAGTAATGAAGGGTCGACGAGAATTTCATAACCAATGCTGGTTCTTTTTCTTTCTCCTCCAGATATCCCCTTAACAAATCCCCCTCCAACTCTTGAGTGACGACATCTGTGACCATGAAATAAGCTTCTTACAAGGTTTTCATTTAGAGTACACAACTACCCGTTGTCCTGATTAAGTGCCATGCATTACCTTTCAATGCCTAGCTCCTTTATAATCATCTCAACTCTGGCATACTTCTGCTGCCGGCTCATGTTTCCTGGAAGTCGTAAGAAAGCAGCAAAGACTAGAGTTTCTTCGACTGTGAGTTGGGGTAAGAGCACATCATCTTGAGTCACAAATCCAATCCTGTGCACAGATAATTAACTTCCAAGGGAGAACATTGAGAAATAATAATGACTTTTTCAATCACCTATGAACGAGACAAAAGCTCTCTTTAATGGTGGCTAACCTTCTCTTAATGACTGCATTATAAGCAATGTCATCGTATGTGATTCTTCCTTTAACATTTTCACTCAGTCTGCCTCCTATTATCTTTAACAAGGTTGTCTTACCACTACCAGAAGGACCCATCAAGGCAAGGATTTCACCAGGGCAAACACTTCCTGTTACACCCTTCAAAATCATCTTGTAGTTATCGTGATCCATGTTGAGCTGTGAGGCTACCTTTGAAACCACTGCCTTCACTGGGTTGGCAGAGGAAGCTTTGCTATTCCTCACCTTATACTCCACATCTTCAAACTGCAATGCATAGATATAGCCCAACCATGACTCGATTTATCTATAGTTATCTTGCCATATTGACTAGCCAGGGCTTGGAAACTAAAGATTACTGTCAATAAGAAGCTTATCATGCCTTCTTAAGAGAATAAAAATAATAATAAAAAACTTACAAGACAACCATAAACAAATAAACAAGATGAGAAGGAAGAGATTGAGCATTGATCACCTTGAGAAATATTGGAAGAGGGCGATCCTTATTCTTAGTCAAGCAATCTTCCTCAATATCAATCCCAGAATACCTATTTCTAAGGTAGGCTTGAGACATGAAGTCTATGCTGTGGCCAAACCCGTTGCTCCCTGCAATTTGCATAGACCCCATTGTTGGAGGGGACAGAGACATGTCCTCAATCTCTTCCTCTCTCTTAGTTTCCATATCCATATACCATGCAAAAAACCAGAAGCACTGTATCTATTTCTAGCTAATACCTTGTGAATCAAAATCTGCAATGTTAAGTGAATCAACCGTAATAAACCAAGAGCTTGCCTATATAGTGAGGAAAGGTTTTGTTCGGTAGGCCACATGCTTTTAATGCCTAAACTCAAGACCAGAAAGTAGAAAAGCAGCTCTTCTTTTATGTTCCTATACGCCTTCCCAACCATTTTGCCTACCCCTCTTTCTCCTTAGTTTTCTTGTTTCAATATTAGGGGTTCCAAGAACACGAAACAATGCTCTCTTCTTTCTTTTTTGCTTTCTCGAAATATATATATATATAATGTTCGTGAATTTTTCTGTAGGTTTCAAATTCGAAGCGCTCAAAATAGAGTTGAAGTCGTTATAATATAAGCATAGAGAGGGTAACATTAAACTTAATGTATATTTATAAAAACTCAAATCCAAGAGAAAGAACACGATTTGATGATAATGGTCAATTACCCACGAACACAAACGGTAAATCCCCATCTCCAAGCTAACTCCTTTGCGTATGTATTTGACTTGAGACAAGTTCTGCAAACAATCCTATTATCTGAAAACTAGTTTTGTTTAAATATAAATAGTAATAGATCTTAACTAGTGCCCAACTCAGCTTGGATCAAAAAGATTTTCAACTTTAAAATAAATGCTAAGTTCTGAGAAATTATTATTAAACCTCATTCATTAAGTTAATATTGTATCCTTGTGACATAATTTTTTTTAACCAGTTCTAATTTAAAATTAACCCTATAAAAATTATCTTAATATAATCCATTTAATATAATCCAATTGGTTTAATGAATTTAAAGATAAACCATAAAATATATAAACAAATATGATTTAACTTTAAAAAATATCTCAAGATGAAATCTTATGTTCTCCCTCTACTTTTTTTTTTTTAAAAAATATTAAAACGATAACATATTAAATTGATTTAAGTTTCGTCAATTAACTCATCACACCTGCAATCTAGATTATAGACTTTATTAGATTTAAAAATTTTATTTTTTAAAACTATCTTTTACTTTATGATATGATAATAAAATAGATGCTTGTATAATTAAGTACCAACTAAATATGAAGATATTTGTTTGAGATTATAATAACTCAATAGAAAGTAAATCAAAACAAATTATGAATATCAATTCTAAATCAAGTAAATGTTCAAGGATAAAATTGATAAAAAAATTTAATAAAAATCGCCTTTAAAGAAAAAAAATGAAAAATAATACTTTTTTTATTAAAAAAAAGTTATTTGTATTGTTATTAAACCAAACATAATGGATCAACATTTAAGCCTCCAGACTCGATTTCTTGTCATGCTTGAATACAATTAACCTGTATAGGAGTTAATCCTACATGACTTAGTTGAATTGATTGGTCTAAAAACAACTTACATGATCGGTTAAAGTATGATTTGATTTTAAAATTTTAAGATGATTTTTTTTAATATTAAAATAAAAAATATTAAATTGACTTAAACTTTATAACTTATCTCACAAAATTTGTGAATTAGATCACAAACTTCATTGTGTTTAAAAGATTTATTTTTTATTTAATGATATGATAATAAAAATAGATAGTTGTAAAAATAGAATTATGATTAAATATCAAGATTTTTATTTAATATTATAATATATTAATAGAAAGAAAACTAAAATAAATTTTGATAATCAATTTAAAATTAATTAAATATGAAATCAAAAAATCAAAAGAAATTTTTTTGAAAGGTATAACTTAAAAAAAAGGAAAAAAATTGATTTTTTTTTTAAATGAAGTGATTCATATAAAACAGTTTTTCATTTCGAGAGAGTAATTCTTATTAAAAATGCTTAATCAAATTCTTTGTAATTTATATAGTATGTTTTTTTTTTAATTTCAAACTGGTATTGTTGTTTAATTTTCTTACGGACTGAATTGAATTTTAGAAATGGGTTAAGTTATCAATGAATTTTAAAATATATGGGATTAAATATATAATTCCTAAACTATAAGGACTAATTAAATTAGTTTTTCCAAATTAGATGAATTAACTCAAAAAATGGTGACAATGTTGAAACCCAATAAGACGATCAAAGCTAAAAGTTTGGATTCTTCCTGAAACCTCAAAGCCTAAAAGAAAAGAAAAGCACCGAATGATGGAAGAATCAGAATCTCGAAAGCAGACACTGTTAAGTTCACTCGAAAGCGCCGGCATTTTGATCCCGGACAACGTTACATCGATCGGAGACTTGAGTCCGGAAACCTTCGTCTCCATCTGCGCTCAGTGTGTTAATTTGATAGATCAAACGGCTTCGTTGCCTACAACTCTGCCGGATGCGGCGATTGACAAGTTGAAGATGTGTGCGGACATGGGTTTAGCTATAAAGCGACTTGGTTTTATTGGAGACATGAGCTATATTAAGGTAATCAAACCCATCACTAATTGTTTTGTAATTAAGGTTATGTGATTTAGTTAGCTTCCTCTCTAATATGTATGTGCTACAGAAGAAGAAGAAGAAGAAGAAGGAGTTAATATGGAATTTCTTCTACTCACTGCTGCTACTTTTTTTTGAGTGAATCCATGGGTCTTTCCTATGCTAATTCATGGAAGTATTAATTTTTAGGTTCCATTTTATCCAATTATAAGAGTAGAATTATGGGGTCATTCTGTTATTCACATCGAACTGTTTGGTCTTGCCTGAATCTGCTTCCGCTTTCTGGTTGCTGCTCTGTTCTTATTACTGTTTTTAAAACTATGCCTAAAACAGATTAAATGTGTTGCTTGCGGCAGCTCCTCTATCCTTCTGAAGATGACCTCCATAAGTTGACTAGATTCTTGGTGGAGAGGCTTACTGAGTCGACTCGACCTGTCAAAATAGCTGAGGTGAAGGATGTGAATGCTAGAGGGAAAACCAAGGAGGGTGGCTCTAATATTGGTGGAACGTTAGATCTTAATCATCAGAGAGAAAAATTGGAAGATCCTAGTCTCCATAATGCAGTGCCAGAGGCTGAAGAAATACGCTTTATTGGCTTGAGCAGACAAAATCCCGGCAAGGCCAAGTTACCTCCTTTTTTTTATGGAGAACTTTTTGATGAAGAAGGAAAGCCAGGAAGAGATCTGTTTGGAAATGAAGAAACAGCTGCCACGGGAGATGATAAGGATGTTCAGAAATCAATTTCTATTAAAGAGAAGCCATCCATGGTATATGCTTATTTGAGATGATGTAGATTTGGATAGAGCAGTCAAAATCATGAGTTTAACCAAGAAACAAAATTGATCCGATTCTTAAATTTGAATCCATAAACAAGTCTTGAAAAGAAAAGAAAAGGATTACTATCATTTTTGTGAAAGCAATTATGAAAATAAAAGGTTTTGATGATTTTTTTTTTGCATATATTTGTTCTTCTATCAGGTAATAATTGAGAAAGAATTAAGAAATGAAGAAAAAGTGCTCACAGAGGAGGTTACTGCAAAGACATCAGAATTACAGCATCTTGAGGAAGAACTTGAATTGTTAAAGGCAGCAACAGAAATGGCATTTGGTGATCAGAATTCTATTGACTTCTGCTTTGAGCAGCTTAAAGAGCAAGTGGATGCCAAAAGGTGCAATATTACAGAATTGAAGTCACAGTGGTAAGATATGGTTCTGTTCTATGAAGTCTTGATTTTCATTAATACAGCGTCTTACTCTGGAAAGAAATCTTTTAGTCAGGTGCTTGGATACATATAAGATATTGTAAATCAGAGATTCTTGTTTTTCAAAAGCAGTGTAGCACTCTACTGGACTGAGATTGAAGTCTTGATTTTTCTGGTGTGTTTGATCAATTCCAGGGATGCTTTCAGAATGCCTCTGGAAGACAAGAAGAGAAACCTAGAGGAGTCCCTGTATGCAAACATACCAGATTCTCAAGAAAAGCTCCAAAAGTTGAGAGAACTTGAGCACGAAAAACAGTTGGTGTTGTCTGAAATTACAAAGAGGTGTGCTTATAAAGTTAAATTATAATGAGAGAATTCGACAAATATGTTTTCATGCTCTTATTGCTGATTTCTTGCAATTCTATAGGGAGGAGGAACATTCTAAACTTTCTGCAGATCTTGAGAAGCAGCCTAAACTTCCATCTAGAACATCCTATATTGAGCGGATAAAGGAGATTACAAAAAGTAGTCAGAAACAGGATGCTGATATAAAGAGGATCTTAAAAGAAACTAGGGAGCTTCAGTTGGAGAGTAACTCTATCCAAGATCGCCTTCATCGAACATATGCTGTTCTAGATGAAGTAGTGTGTAGGTACGAAATTTTTGGTTTTTTGATCTTCTTCAAATTTGGTCTTCCCTGATGTTGAAAGAATAAAATATTCATTTACTTGATTTACCAAAAGAAGCTTCTTTCCACAGGGAAGCAAAGAGAGACCCAGTAGTACGGAAGGCTTATAGTCTTCTTACTAGCTTGCACGACTTCTTTGGTCAAATTTCTGAGAAAATCCTTACCACTGATAGAATAAGCAGAGAAATGACTGAACTTGAAAAGAAGCTCGCAGCCATGGCATCCCGAAGTTTGAATGTGGATAAGCTGCAAGCAGACCTTGATGCCATTGTGAAGGAAAATGAGTGCCTGGAGCTACGCCTTGCAGAAAACCCATGAGTCATTCTTGTTGCAGCAATCTATAATTGCTTGTTTGCAATCATTTCTTTCATTTTGTTTAAACATAGTAATCTCCATTCTATTCATTCGATCAAGTGAGAGATTGAATATGTGCATTTACCGGGTTAAGGAATAGAAAGTTTGTCCGTACTGGCTTCCCTGATTGAACTGTTATCAGCTTCAAACCAGGCCTAGAAACAACCTAGTTAAAATAGGCTAACATGTTTGTTGAGCTAGAGTGAAGCATCTAACCAATCTAGTTTTAAGCTATTCCATATCAAAACCAAATCTGAAGTGTGCGGAAGATGTTTTGCTGGATTGAGGGATCATACAATGTCGAGAGTACAAAAACATCACTGAAACTTATTCTATGTTTCTGCCCTTTTGTCTTGAGATATTAACAGAATGTAACCTTAGGGGTGTATGATCATATGATTATTTACATGATAAAAATAAAAATAATTTAAATTTTTGTTATTGAATTTAAAATTAATTCATAGATTTGTAACATGATCAGTCGTATTAAAAAAACAGGGATAGAAATCATGTTTTGGGCTCAAGCATTGCTTTCCAAATGTAGGCATAAGAGGGCATTCCAGGACGTGTGAAGGAAGATGCTTGCGTTTCCAAGCTGCTCGTTAGCCCTTGGTTGTTGGGCAGAGGTGACGATCATAGAGACAAAACAACGTTGCAGTTTGTTGGTTGACAGTTGACGCTTTCAAAATCTCAAGACGTGGGATGGGAGGCACATCACTTTTGGTGCATTGGCCTTTTCCATACTAGCGCAAATCATCAAACTTAAGCATGATTTAAAGAAAGGACATGTCGTTTGTTGGGCCTGCTAGTAAGGTTGCAGTTTGAGAAGAACAGCAAAGGGAAAAAACAACAGAGAAGAGATTATCACACTGGCCTAGAGAGTGCCAATTGTTAGTTTTGATGTTGTGAAAATGATGTTTTCTTAACTTCAAAGGAAAACTATATGAACTAAAATCTGTATCTACTGAATATTTAACTCAACCAGAATCCTAACAGCTTGAAAAGGTGGCAAACATCGTATGTGTCAGGCTTTTGTAAGATCTTATCATTTCATTTTAAAACACCTTATTTATTTATTTTTTATTTGTTTTTGTCGTTGCCAAAAATAACCTGTTCTATATAAACGTTGGACTCTCTTCATCTCCGTTTTTTTCCCAATACATATCCATTGAAGTTGTCATTATCTTTCCATTTAATTACATTATTTCCATTTCTTCTATATACACGTCAGCCAAAGCATTTTGACAAGGAGTTCAATGCATTCGTGTTAGTATGTGATCAGAGAGAAACTAATCATCCATCTGATTCTTATGGGTCTGCTTGATTCATTGCTGGGCACCAATGCGAGGAAGTTCATCAAGAGGAAAGACAGTGATGCAGGAGAAGCAGGTTCTGATCTACAAAAACAATGAATCCTCTTTGTGTGTGTGTGTGTGTGATGGCCCCATTTTATTCTCTCACGTTGTATGAGTTTTCTTTACACTGAAATGATAAAATAGTTTTCATTTGTATTTGGATTAGCATTTTGTCATAATGTGATTGTTTTAGTTCTTTCGGTACTGGTTTGTTAGTGGTGGGATTCATAGATCAGCATGATTTTGAGGATTGCAGGATCATTGATTGATCACCATAAATGCATCTCCTGTTTCTTTCATTACTGGCTCTTGTCCTCTCTTCTTCTCTCTGGAGCATTCGATAATGTATTACTTGGGTGATCTGTTAATGGTTTACATAATACAATTTCTCAGTTTTCATATCTCATTTTTCAGTCAAAACTATTGCTGCTGTCATTAGTTAGGTGGCTTTAGCATTGATGTTCAAGGTGCTTCCTCTGTTATTGATAAGTCTCGGTTTTCTGAACTGCCTCTTTTTTCTCTCTATTTTGATTACTGAATACGTAGGTTGTACGTATTCAGCTCAATTCCACGCGTATTTCAAAGTTCCATGTCGTGTGATTGAATTTCACTGAAAGCTGGCTTATAATTTTTGGCAATATGTAGTGGTCAAATTCCTCTTGTAGATGCTTTAGAATTTAGCACGGGGGAACACAAAAAGGATACGAAACAGTTTTGCGAACTTCGTTTATACAACCATTTGTTTGCATTTCAAGGGGGCAAAAAAATGCTCAGAACTTAGTTACCCTTGCTCATGACTTTGTGCCTCTTGCTTTTGGATTTCTTACTTACTGTACTCGAATTATCAGGTCAAGCATTGGAAGAACTTAGAGGTTCTCTTTACAATGATATTCGGACTTCAGAAGGAGCTAAGCGCCAGCAACAACGGTTTTGTGGACCAGCTGTGGCAATGACCTTCAATTTCATGGCCGCTGTGGGGGTTATCATGGCAAACAAATTAGTTAATGCCTTTCCTTGCTTTGTTATATGTGGATGTGATAGTTTGTTCGTGTTAGCGAATTTAGCAGTATGCATAGTTATTGAGCTACAGCACCAGCTACTGCTTGATTTAAAGAAAATTCAGATTTACTGTCATATGAGGTAGTTAGTTCAGGTATCATGCTTAGGTTGCTGCTGGCATTGAAGGAACTAGTCCCAACTGCTGCTTGGTTCTGAAACTTCAGCCCTGCTGCTGTTGTGTTTATACTTGTATTTGGCAGTATGTTCTTTCTATTTCATGCCATTTTATTGAAGGAATAGGATCCCAAAGATGGGAAGTTTTTTCAGGATGAACTGTTATCAGAGAAATCTCATGTTGGGTTATATGATTACGTACAGGTGATGAAGAAAGTTGGGTTTAATTTTCCAATCTTCCTCACATTAATCCACTATTCCACTTCATGGATTCTACTTGGCATTCTTAGAGCATTGTCATTGCTTCCAGTTTCCCCTCCCTCTAAAGCTACTCCTTTCGCTCCTCTCTTCTCATTGGGCGTTGTCATGTCCTTTGCATCCGGTCTTGCCAATGCCAGTCTAAACCATAACAGGTTTGTGTGTAGGTTTCAAAAATCTCTCTTTTAAAGTAACTTGTGGCGGAGTCCTGTTTCCTTACTCTTCAGTTCTTGTGCAGTGTTGGTTTCTATCAGATGGCTAAAATTGCAGTCACTCCTTCCATTGTTCTTGCAGAGTTCATTCTCTTCAGGAAAACAATTTCCTACAAGAAGGTCACCGTTTTGAACTTCAGTTCCCTTCAAAAAATCTCAACGAATTCTTTTTGAAAATACAGATAGCTGAATGAACACGGCCAGTAATGGCTTGTCAATGACACTGGTAATTCTGCAGGTTTTGGCTTTGGTTGTCGTCTCAGGGGGTGTGGCAATTGCAACTGTGAAAGATTTGGAGTTCAACTTCTTTGGTGCTTGCATTGCAATTGCATGGATAATTCCAAGCTCAATAAATAAGATTTTGTGGTCTAATCTACAACAACATGCGAACTGGACTGCTCTAGCGTAAGTAGATGAAACCCTGTTCTGCTTTTGCAAACTAGATCAAGCAATCAGTCTCAAATCTCATATAATAAGAGTGAGATTCCTTAAATTTGTAGGTTGATGTGGAAGACAACGCCTGTAACGATTTTTTTCCTAGTAGCCTTGATGCCATGCTTGGATCCACCAGGACTGTTATCATTCAAGTGGGATCTCTACAGCTCATCTGCTATTTTTCTGACAGCTCTCCTTGGTTTTCTCCTACAATGGTCTGGGGCTTTGGTACTCGGGTGAGCTTCTAATCACTCCTTGTCTATCCATGATTTTACCTCTCATAATTTTGTAACTGGGTATCATTCTTTCTCATCCAGGGCAACTTCTGCAACATCTCATGTGGTTCTCGGACAGTTCAAGTCTTGTGTGATCCTCCTAGGAGGTTTTCTAATTTTTGGTTCAGATCCTGGGTTTGTGAGCATCTGCGGAGCCCTCACAGCTCTCGCCGGAATGTCTATTTACACATCACTAAACTTGCAGGAGTCACGTGAAAATTTGATTTTCCAGCTTCAGGCACAAACGCTGCCTTTATCAAAACCCAAGACAGAACCTGAAACTACCACCACAGATGACCAAACTTAGATGAAGCTGGCACGGCAAATGCTGCTTGATTCGTTTTGTTAGTACGAAATCTTTAACAATGTCTTGATGCCATCATTCTACCTCAGGAATTTTGATTCCGGCTCTTAGTATACTTGTACAGTAAATATTGCTTTTTCTGCCGCCCAGTCCTGCTGCGAGAGATTTTTTTTTTTTTTTTTGCTTTTAGAGAATTATTTGGTATTGAATCTGAAAATACAATTGTTTTGATTTTGACTTTATTTTATTCAATTAAATTTTTGATCATCATCTCTTCTGTTTATCTTAACGAATATAAGTTTTTAACAAGAATTAATTTTTTTTTGTGTGTGTGTGTGTGTGTGTGTGAGAGAGAGAGAGAGAGAGAGAGAGATTGAAAACAAAAAATTCATAAATATAATAAAATAATGTCGAAAATCCATTTAAAAATTTTAAAAATAAAAAAGGATTTGAAACGAATTTTCATTAACAATTTATAATTAGTATTATTATCTTCATATTATATATATAATAATTGAGAAAATATTATTAAATTTCAAATACAAATATTTAAAAATCGTCTCAAAACTAAAAATTAAATGAATCTAGTAATTTTTTTTGGAGTGTCAAAAAATACCAAAGAAAACAAAAGAAAAAAGAAGGCGAGAAAAGAAAAATAAAAAAGGGCGAAACTTAGTCTAATTCACATTAGCAGGCCAAGCACGCGGGCTAAACCTGCATGTCTGGCCCTGCTTCAATTCTTTTTACGTCAGATTGCGGTAGTGTAATTAGTTCCATTTAGATTACTCAAACTAAAACATGCATTTGGTGAGAGCAGCCGAACTTGGATTTAGGATTGGTTGCCATAAAGAACAAAGATTAATGGACGTGAACTGAAAGCCCCGATCTGTACAGCTAACGTATCAGAGAGACAGCATATATCTGCAGAGCAATTTCAGAGTTTCTTGCTCTGGGTTTAACCTCTGGTAAGTTCAGTTTTTAAAAATACGAGTCTCCAGCAAATCTACGATTCAGTGGTGCGTAATGGGGTTCCTGGACAAAAAACTTGAATTAACAGTCTCAAACAGATGAACAATGAACCAGCACATTCACCAGCATATTCTGCGTGCTGCTGTAGTAAATTCAGGACAGGAAGGTTGCCTAGAACATAAGAGCGTC